AAAAAAATGTCTAAGCTGCAAGTGCAGACACAGTTTTTTCTATAAAGGAACATACTAAATTCTCTCTTTCTCTTCAATAGTTTTTAACACAGCTCATGCAATTCTAAATTGTTAAATGAGGTAACTGCAGGAATACTGATTTTGTATGCTACACTGGTGATCTCAGATCTTGTACATATCAATAAAGCAGAGGAAATGAAAGCAACACATGACCTATGATATATATAATTCAGGTGAAAGCAACCCAATAATTCATAGTTCAGACAACTGTTAGATGATCGCTATTCTGAAGTATCCCAAGCCATTAAAACTATGGAGGATTTTACTGTTAAGCTTGTGACTGCCTTAATTCAACACAAAAGAGCTTATCTTTTGCAATTGTTCAACAACTGGCAGTAAGCAGAGTCCCATTTTCCTCCAATCTCATTCTATGGAGTGTAGTAGCATAGGGTAACTATGAATAGAAACTGAACAGAGAATAATAAACTGCCTCTAGACATTTCCTGGCCTTCTGAAACAAATTAAACCTACCAAAAAAAAAAAAAAAACCAGCAAGGGCAGCTGAACTATAAAACTCTTTAGAGATACTTAGCCATTTCTCTGGTCAAGCTAGCTTTTGCATCCTCCTATAATAATCACTGATGATAAACTCTAACAATCTGTGGAACACCAATTGTAAAGGAATTTCAGGAATCAGCATTGGATCACATTTTATTGTTGACAGGCTTAGCAAAGGAGTGATTAGTTAAACAAGTTATATGATTCCTCCCCATGTAACATTCTTCTTTTACTTTAGGTAAGGGTGCAATCACACAGTCCCATTCAAAGACCAAGAGGACAGTAGGGAAGTCCCCTTTGAATGGTAAAGTAGGTCTTATTTCTTCATCCAACCTCCTCCGTGACCTCTACAGAAAACTGTTCTGAGATTAGAATAAATGGAGGTGTGGTGGGCTGGGGCAAGGCTAAAAAACCATTAAATGGATCCTCAGCCAATCTTTTGCTAAGGACCCAAATACTTACATTTAAACAATCTGAGCACTTGTCTAGTTGCCTTCCTCTACCCCAGTGAAAAAAACAGCAATAGTGAACCTGCTGCTTCATAGCTGATAGGACTTTAAGGCTTGTTCAAATGTTCGGCCAGGAACTCTGGATTCCTTTGCCATTCTAGTTTTCATTTTACCCATATTTTTAGGAATAGGAAACAAAGGATCTGCCAAAGGTTGCATAGAAAACATGGGCTTTGAATTAGGTGACATGGAATGGTGATAGCCTACATTAGACTGTAATGAAAATTGGCCAAGTTGTCTTGAGAGAAGGGAGAACTTCTGGGAGTGAAAATAGAGGACAGAACATATGATGGTATTTTACTTGATTTGGAGAGCATGTAAAAGATTTGAAGAGCAACATCACATGCCCTGAATGATGTAAGCAGCATCTTATGCAAAACAAGAGAGCAGGGAGAATTATTTGTAATCCTCTGCCTATGCAAGTCCTGTAATATTACAAATGTTGCTTTTCATTAGACTTGGTTCTATCAATTGCAGCAGCTGATTGGGATTTTGCCATGGGTTAAAGGACATTCCTAGGAACAAGTTTCCCTCTCCTTATCTAGAGATCATTATGTTGAGTAGGGAGGAAGTGTAGAGAGGAAGGAAGATGATCTTGACAAGCTTATGTAGGGTCAAAAGTAAAAGCAAAAGGGGCTGAAGCATTGTTTAAGTCCAGGACAAGGTAACATTTGGAAGAAGCTCAGGCAAACGTCTCCCTACTTCACTGAACTAAAAGATGAGGTGGTACAGAATAATCAGACTTGCAAGATTGTTATTATAGCCAATCTCAATAAAACTAGATTCCTTTCTGTGGAGTTGATTCTTAGTCTGATTTACCAAGTGCGGCTGACAGGAAGAAACAATAATTTCCATTAATAATTTTAGAGAGTGTAATAGGAGAATGTAAATGTTTAGGAGATTTAAAGAATTAAAAGGGGAAAAAATCAAGATAGCAAGGATAATTACAGGAATGTGGAGACATAAAAGGGATACTAAACTCAACAGATTATTCAAATATAACAATCTAAACAACCAAGGAATAGATTATGAATAGCATGGAAAAAAAAATAGGTGGAAAAGAGATGTTTTCAAAAGAGTAACAGGAGAATGGGAAGGGGTAAAATATAGAAAGGCTTTTATTGCAAAAGAGATACTGGGTGAAAGATTCAAAGGAAAATTATAGAGTAAATTGAGTTAGTCACTGAAAAAGGAAAACAGAAAGTGAGAAGGAGCATTTGGAATGGGGTTACAGAATTTATGATGCTTTGCTGAACTACAAGTCCCAGCATTCCTCATCATTATCCATGCTGCTTAAGGCTGCACTGAATCATATTCAGTAACGTCTTGATGGCAATAGGTTCACCAATTCTGATTTAAAGCATCAAAAGATCAGACAGGGGGCGAGAACACTCTGCTCTTTGGTGAGAAGAACTCTAGTTAGATGAGGGGGTAGCATTGTACAGTGGCTCTTTTTGTGTCCGTTGATTTTATGACTCTTAGTGGCCTAGAAACTATCCATAGTTTCTAGGCTACTTACAATCCTAAGTGCATACAAATACAAACGTCTATATTTATATACACATTTTATGGGTGTACTATTTATGTGTCTAAAGATATAAATATCTATATCAGATTTTATTTGCAAACCACTCACCCATTTCCAATGAATTTCTCACTGTAGAGAAAACAGAGTCCAAAAGAGAGAATATTTGAACCTGCATTTTCATATTTAAATACAAGACTCCAAAAAGTACGGGGAGGAACCAAGTTGTAATTTCAGAATTATTTCCTTATTGGGTAGAGACATCTTAATTTCTACAGCATTTTATGGGCATTTATAAATAGCATATATTCTGAAAAAAAGGCAAAACAAATTATGCTGCCCTAGTAAGTAACAGTATTGTTTTATGTTTCTTCATTTTTCAGTGGCAGTTGATGCGGTATGGATTAGTGTACAAAGACATTTCAACTGGCCAAATATCAGTCAATATAATCAGCCAACTGAATCTGTCTTGTTCTGTGTTTCTCTTAAATTGTCTACATTACTTCAGTGTTTCAGACCATGTACCACGCAAGAGTTATTGTGCTTATCCTTGAACTATCTCTAACATGATGTTGTTCCCTTTTGCTCTGTCACTACCTTGGAAACTACGTCCTGACCTAGCCAGTTTTACAATAGGTCAGCAGATCTAGTTTCTACACCATAAATCTTTGACCTTCAAACAAGTCACCAGGTTTTTATTTAGTCTTATCTCAAGAGGCAGGGACTACTTTCTCTAAGAAAAGTTTAGAGAACCAGTGTGGTGTTGCAACTATCTTGAGCTGTGACAGAAACTCAAAGTGCAAACACATAATGATCACCAATTAAATCCAATTGAGCATTATAGACTTCATGTCCTGTTCCAGGCAAATTCTTTCTCATGGCTGGATTTAGCAGTTGAAGACAAAGGATTTCTTCCTCAAAGGAGTAACCGGTACTGATGAGTCCTCTATTACTTAGTTTGCCAACAGGGCAACAGAAAAATAGGACCAGCTATACATGTCATAACATGGAGTTTTATCCTCTGGTGTGTCATGAAATATAGAAATAATGTTAGCACAAACTGCAACTAAACATAATCTCAGCCCTTGCAAACTGTATCTTGCAGTAGTTCTTGAATTTGGCTTGAAATAATAAAATAGTATAAACAATATAAAGAGAAGTTATACAACAATATAGAGTTGAGAATATAAACAATATAATGAGTACAAATGCTTTTCTCCAGTCCAAGATCCATCTCTATTACTTCAGAAGCAAAGATCCACAGCTGCTTTGTGATTCCTCAGATGGTAATCAGGGGAAATAGCTCTTCCTTTCTTTCTTTTTTGGTATCCTTGATGGAATCAAAGAATAATTCTTCAGGGGAAGATGGCGACAAACTTGACAAATTTGTTCCAATGCTGCCTTTCTCATCAGTGTTGTTCTGTGTTGACCAGATTTCTGCACAACTGAAAGTGGAATGAACTCATAAAGATTCCAGCATCATCTTCAAGATGGAGCTCCTGCTATGCCAAACTGTACTTACCTGAAAATGTTTAGCCTTAAACCATGAGTACCAATGTGCAGAATAAAAAGCTTTATTCTAGGGAGGCTACTCCTTACCTTATGTACACTTTTTGGATTTTCCAACCAAGCATAGTACATTTCCTCCACATAATTTGAACTAGTCCCACTCAAAAATGGCTCAGCAGCAACAGGTGCACTGTAGCACCTGATCTGTTGAAACGTCCTTGGTGCTGCTGGTTTGTTCTGAGAAACTGTCTTAACAGTCTGTGAGGCTGTCAGTGGCCTTAGTTTAGTAGCACAAGTCCTTAAGTGAAACATTTTTGTTGTGCAGCAACAGACAGGTTCCTGTTGGGAGAAAAATAAAAACTGAGTCAGTGATTAAAACAAAAGTACACAGACTATTAAAATAATTGAGCTTATTTGATTTCATTATTAGTTACAGAATTCTCATACCATGATAGGGCCAAGAGATTTATTTAATGTTCACTCAATAAATCAGTAATAAAGTGAAGCACATCATAATGAATAAATTTTTATAAATCACTCTGGAAGCTCTGCCGAAGGGTATTATATAAATATTTAAAATACATACAGTGTAACAAACAGTTAAGTGCACTGAAGCCTGATAATTTCAGTGAATGACATTTTGATAGATTGCCCTGAGTGATGCAACAAACTACTTCAGTCAATTTGATTGCAAGAGAGGGGAAAATATTGCTCATTAACAAAAACCATTATTTAGAAATAGAAATTATAATGGTGGATAATGACTAAAGGAAATGGTGTTATAGACTCCATCATCAGTGATACAAGCCACAACACGAACTATGGCAATTTATATTTAGAATCATTCACTATTCACACAGAAAATAAAAGAGGTATGGTGGATCCAATTAAGAATCCATCTAGTTCATGATGCTTCCAACACTAGATTCTCTTATGGATCTGGAAAACAAAGAACTGAACAATATTAGGCAGTGAATTATGCAGCTTGTACTGTCTATTCTCACTGGCACAACTATTTTCCATCTATCCTATAATTTAGCTGATAATGCAAGCTCTTATCTCAAAAGCTTCCACTTGTGAAGCATGGACAATATTTTCCACAGATGGCAATCTCTACCTTCCATCTATTCACACTAGTCCAGGTTTTCCCCATAAACACTGTTGAAATGCTAACTTTCTCTTCTGTTACTTCATAGTTTTCTGCACATCAGGAAAGTCATGAGAATGTCACAATTTGAACACCTGGATGTTCTCTAGTACAATATTCTAAAAAGCAGTTGCTTACAATTAGTTTTAAATTTATTTTCCTTAAGAATACCTTTTTACTAGCCTCAAAATAGATTAATACTAACAGATAACTGTTTATAGGTCAGACAGAACAAGGCAGCTTAAAGAATTTCAACATGAAACAATGTCCAGAAGAGTAGTATTGTTAAGTCTGTTTTGCATCAAAAACAAGAAGAGTCTTAGGACACTTTAAAGGCTAACTCAATTTATTATTGCCTATGTTTTAATGGATCACAGTCCATTTCATCAGAGGAAACCAGTTATTTTATTCCTGCCTGGAAAAATTAATATGGAAATGTATTTGTATGAAGTTTAAAGGATTAAAAAACCTGGAATTGTGAAATTTCAGTTTTAATATATATATTAATATACAATATGATACAGCAACAGAGGCAAGCAAGTAATTTAGAGATCCACAAAATAAAATATTCATTTCTTTTAATGAGGGTGGTCCACATTAAGTCCCTCAAATTGTAAGCGAACGTTGATATGGTTGAGATCAGACAGAACTTTGGATGGTGAAAATAGAGGGCACAACATAACATGAAATTGTATTCTTCCTACAGAATTCTGATGCTACAATCATTGTTTTCATTGTAATTCTCATGGGAATATGGAGAACAAATTGCATAATTCTCTGTTATTAGAAAATCTGGAAAAAAGCTCAGTTACATAAACTAATCTTGGAGACATAACCAATTATTTCATTCTGAGTTAGTAAACACTGGCAAGTTTTATTAGCACATCATTTTCTTCCTTTAAAGAAAACTCTAGCTGAATAATTCAACAAATTAATTGTGCTCAGGACCTAATTCCTCTAATCAAGTAAACCAATCCAATTCTCCTTTGCTATTCTTTTAACTCATGTCAGAGTTGCAAGTTCTGAGCTAACAGAACACAATAATTAGAAGGACCGTACTTAAAACTGATATGATAACAGAGTCCTTGTTTATTACATATGCTTCCAACAATCCTTTGTGATAATCATAATGAAAGGGAACAATATACCAGAAGTCTGCCAACCACACCTGGAATTTGCTATATTTTCTAAAAATGAAAGTAGGATCTAGAGTTGTAAGAGAAGCAATTTAATAAAAGAATAAGTGGAATCTGAAGAATGGGGAAATTTTGGGATGAAATGAGTGACAAGAGTATTTGCACGGAAGAATAAATATATCAAGGGCTAGAAAATTTAGGCAAAGATCTCTTCCAGCCATAAGCATGTTTTGAAAACTTTCTTTTGATACTGACTAATGAGGACCAATTAGAATTTTTCAGCTTTAGAAACAGATACACTAAGAAGCACAAATGTCTAGTCACTCACCAGATCAATATGCTATGCCATAGTCCAACCCCTGTTAATATCTTACACATTCTATATAATGAAATATTCCAAAATGATACATTTGTAATTCTATCCCAACATTTTTGGAGACTCATCTTTGTACTGTTTCTGCTAGGAGAGGGTCACTAATCACAGCATTCTGATTTGAGTAACATGGATTTATTTAAAAAGCGATGCATATGGGAGCATGAACATAGTACCTATTTAAAAAATATTTAAATTACCTGAATCTTTTCCAGGTTCATGCACTATCCTGGGAAAAGGTGCAACTATTTTAAAGAGTTGCAGACAGGTATTATATTTGTGCCCCTGCATTCTCCAAAGAACATGTTTTGAACTGAATCCAAAACTCTACTCACAAAAATTACTTATTTCTAGTTACTGTACGGTACTTTTTATTAAACTAGTCCATAGTTTATGGTGGATTTTAACATGAATTTTAAAAGTTTAAAATGAAGTTTATTATGAAAATTGATTATTTTGGTTCTTTGAAATACATTGCTTTAGCTAAATCAGCTATTTTAAAATCTATTCATTTCTTGATAATCTACAGTTGGGCAAAAAAGTATTTAGTCAGCCACCAATTGTGCAAGTTCTCCCACTTAAAAAGATGAGAGAGGCCTGTAATTTCCATCATAGGTATACCTCAACTATGAGAGACAAAATGAGAAAAAAAATCCAGAAAATCACATTGTCTGATTTTTAAAGAATTTATTTGCAAATCATGGTGGAAAATAAGTATTTGGTCAATATCAAAAGTTCATCTCAATACTTTGTTATATATCCTTTGTTGGCAATGACAGAGGGGTATACCTCAACTATGAGAGACAAAATGAGAAAAAAAATCCAGAAAATCACATTGTCTGATTTTTAAAGAATTTATTTGCAAATCATGGTGGAAAATAAGTATTTGGTCAATATCAAAAGTTCATCTCAATACTTTGTTATATATCCTTTGTTGGCAATGACAGAGGGGTATACCTCAACTATGAGAGACAAAATGAGAAAAAAAATCCAGAAAATCACATTGTCTGATTTTTAAAGAATTTATTTGCAAATCATGGTGGAAAATAAGTATTTGGTCAATATCAAAAGTTCATCTCAATACTTTGTTATATATCCTTTGTTGGCAATGACAGAGGGGTATACCTCAACTATGAGAGACAAAATGAGAAAAAAAATCCAGAAAATCACATTGTCTGATTTTTAAAGAATTTATTTGCAAATCATGGTGGAAAATAAGTATTTGGTCAATATCAAAAGTTCATCTCAATACTTTGTTATATATCCTTTGTTGGCAATGACAGAGGGGTATACCTCAACTATGAGAGACAAAATGAGAAAAAAAATCCAGAAAATCACATTGTCTGATTTTTAAAGAATTTATTTGCAAATCATGGTGGAAAATAAGTATTTGGTCAATATCAAAAGTTCATCTCAATACTTTGTTATATATCCTTTGTTGGCAATGACAGAGGCTCATAGTTGAGGTATACCTATGATGGAAATTACAGGCCTCTCTCATCTTTTTAAGTGGGAGAACTTGCACAATTGGTGGCTGACTAAATACTTTTTTGCCCCACTGTACATAACTCAATTGTTAAGTGTCTCAAGGCTGCTATTTAAATTATTGAACTATAGGGTGGTGAAATGCTTTAGCCTCTCTTGAGATACAGGAACAAGTTTTATTTTTGTTTTAAATACTTAATTTGCTTGGAGTCCATTGGTAAATACAGATAAAACCAAACAAATACAAGTTGCTTTCCAATTATCTTCCTTCTTAATAGGTAGAGTATTATTCCAGGCTCATGATTATGTTTTAGATCATGTGCCTACTTTCAGTGATCTTACGGAAGCCTATTTTTACTGTTTTTGCAATCAAATGCAAGCATAATTGTTCTGGAAATTAGAAAATGTAACCCTTTATTTAAAGCAGTATTTCAAAAGGAAGGGGGAAGATTTCTTGGCAAATTAAATTGTTTAATTTACTCTGCCATCATCCATTAATGAGAGGTAATTTTCTTGACTAATTTATCTGGATTGCTACAATTAATATGAAACATGATTGTTGTACCTGCTCTGTCCTGATACCATTGTAATTTATCTGAAGAAGATACATCTCTCTACTGTAATTTTGTGGAGGAAACACATACAAACAAGTATGCATAGCTAAAACCAATTGAGATGGAGGTCTTTAATGGATCTATAACTATATATCCTTAAAGACCATGTTTCTGTTACATATGTGAAAGCTGGGTGTGGGGAACAAACTCTCATTCATTAACTCAGCTGACATTTGTGAGGTGACCCCTTTTCCAAAAGAGTTGCTTTAC